ATAATTTTTGTTATCTCTATTGCTCAGTGAATCCAGTGACTGGTCAGTAATACATGTATGTTGAGGAATAATAATGATAAAAGGCAGACATTTTTCATCCTTCCTCTATTGCATATAAGATAATTTATTTTTTAAAGATGGCAGATACGATTTCATCAGCCCATCAGATTTTTCATCTCTGCTGACTCAGCTGCATCTGTGCAAAGTCAAAAAGTCCCTGCAATTTTCCTCAACAGAAACATACTATTTCGTTAAAAATAACTTTATATAACATTGGTTGCCTCAGGGAAGAGAAACTGGGTGACTGGGAGATGAATAAGAATAATATTTTTAATGTGTACTGTGTTTTGTACCTTTTGGACTTTGAATGATACGAAGGCAGAAACATGAAGCCCTTGAAATACAAAAATATTAATCTTGCTTTCCTAGCAAGAATCAAGTACAGAACTCATTTACTTATTAGGAGTCCTAGTAGTCCTACTGGCCCTCCTCTCCACTCTGGATAAACCCATTGGCAGTGAAAATTGTCCAGTCAAGCTGATCCCTCAGATAGATTTGTCTCAAGTCATGGGTGGGAGACAGATTGGGAAATTCCTGAAGGAGAAATCTAGCCAGACGTGTCTAGAAAACTGCCTCTTTCATGGGTAAAGCAAATTCCCCTAAATTCCAAGTAATTCCAAAACCCCTTAAAATTCCAAATTTCAGATAAATCCAAAATCCTGGTCCAACAAACCCTTGGTTGCTGAAGATGGATTTCTGGTGAAGGCTTAGTCATCTCTTTGTTAGTCTTGTGAACAAGTAGATGAACTTGAATGTTTATGGCCAATCTAAACTTGTCCATGACTCACCAAGAACAGTAGCCAATAGAGCCGCCACCAAGGCTATTTGGAACAAAGTAGAATCAGACACTCTCCACAGCCTAGAGAAGGGCCAGGCTGTCATTTTCCCCTTTCTATCCAGGGTCTCATCTGGAGCTCTTGGGGGGTACATGCTCTGAGGCGTCACCACCGTTTTTCTGCTGAAAGAACTCAGTTTAATAAACAGTCAGTGAATGCTTACTTGTTATAAAGAACGAGGGTACATGCTATGGAATCCATGCCCTCAAAAAAATTACAGCCGAGGCTGGAAGAGAAAACATGCACAAATGTTACAACACAAGACAGTGAGTGTTCGCTTCTGGGGTAGGGTGTATTCAGAAGACAGATTAGCTCCAAGGGGAGAGATAGGAGGTGGCTGTAGCTGAGTTAGGTACGCTTTAAAAATTACAGAATGGATGCAGGGCAAATTGGGCACCAGTAGATAGTATCTCAATGTGGCTAGAAAATAGTGTCTGAGATGGGGAGATAGTCGTTAAGGAAGGGGCAACTTAAAGGTGTGCCTGAAAGGGATATACCAAGTTAGGAATTCATGGACGCTACTGTTTGAGGAATAAAGAGCCTTCTTGTTTGTTGGTTGGTTTGGGGTTTGTTTGCTTGAAAGCTAAGGAGTGAGATCATTGTGCCTTAGGAAGGTCACTATGGCAGATGCGTACATAAGGGATTCAACAGAGAGAAGAAACAGGGAGGTTGATGGAGGGGGCAGCAGAGGTGAAAGAGAGTATATGGGGGAATAAATGGTGATGGGGAAAATAATAAAATAAAATAAAATATAATATAATTTTAGAATGACATAAAAAAAGAAGGCTATTACAATTGACCAGATGAGCCACAGAGATGATGTGACCGAAAAAATGGTAGAGGATTTAGAGAAAAGGGAACAAATATAAAACAAAACAAAAGGGCTGGAAAGCAACGAGATAGAGAAAAGGAGTTGGATCGCTACGGATAGTCTTGGGAATTCCTCATAACAACTGTCTACTGAAAAAATAAACCATCAAGCAACTTGCAG